AACAGCAACAACAGCAACAACAGCGGCAACAACAACGACAACAACAACAACAACTACAACTACTACTACTACTACTACTGCTACTACTACTACTACTACTACTACCACCACTATCGCTACCACTACCACTACCACTACCCCTATCACTACCACCACCATCACTACTACCACCACCACCACCACCACGACCACTACTACTGCTTCTCCTGCTGCTGCTGCTGATGCTGCNNTGCTGCTGCTGCTTCTACTGTTACTGTTACTGCTACTCCTACTGCTGCCACAGACAGCAACAACAACACCTACTACTACTGCTACTACTACACCACTACTACTACCACCACTAGTACCACCGGCATCACTAGTATCACTATCTCTACTACCACTACCGCTACCGCTACGACGACGACTACTACTTCTACTTCTACTGCTATCACGACCACCACCACCACGGCTAGTTGGCTAGAACTGCTGCTTTTTTCTCATCCTTCATCATCATCCGTATCACCAAGACCGTCGGCGTCTTCGCGTTCATCTTTGCCATTGATGACCAGGCATCCATAAGCCGAGCACAAACATTGCCCAACATCAGTGATGGAGTAGGGTAGAGAATACCTAACAACAGATGGGCAAACAAAATAGATAAGGAGCACAGTACTTCCCAAAAGCAAAGGCTCATGCCCCTAAGTTAAGTGTAGATGCAAAGAAGCATTACAACCATGATGCACAGCAGCCCAACCACGTCCATAAGATCGAACCTCAACTAAGACAGTCGCCTTGGCACACAGACTGACGGCTCAAAAACACCCACACGCACAGAAAGCGCAATGGGCGGCTGACCAACCGGGTGCAGCTTTGTCGTCCACTGCCCCCGACGCCCACCTTTGAAAGGTCATTGGGCTTGGGAACAGAAAGGAGATTCAGGACACTTTTGCATGACTCATGAAGTTGGCTCGGGCTAGCGAAACTTGGCGTCATGGCTTCTGTCGCGACGAGCTTCACAACACTGGCGACGTGTTGGGACCGCGGATAGCTTATCACACAGGGATCGACTGCGCGCAACCTCTGCCCGTTTACCCGCAGCCAGTCTCTAGTCCCTTCTAGGCGGACCACGAGCAAAGCATTGCCACCCGGGCTTTTGATGACACGGGCGACCCGAGCCAGGTGCTCCAACCTGTCTCAGGGGACCCGGGTACCCTCAACCCCCAACCACCCTCAAGCCGCGAACAAAACCGCCGGCTCTTCTGAGCTTACCGAGATTCTGCAAAGCTTTGAGGCCAAGATTTGGGACTCTCGTCTGCACGGCTCCACGTTTGAGGCTAGATTCAGGCTCCTTCAAGCTGCTGGCTGGTAAGGGGGCTCGGTTCAAGGCAGATAGAAATCTAGCATGGAGAGGGACTTCAGACTGAATGACGGATATTGGATGTGTGATTTTATGTTGCTTCCGGTTGCTTATGTTCATGTTTTTTTGCTCACTTCTGCCCTCACATGTGCAAGCTCGCTGCACACCATTACTCAAGGTCAGCAGCAACATGAACGACAGCACGATTCTACAGTTCCAGGTTCTCACAAGCATAGGCAATTCAATCACCGACTTTCGTCATCATCGTAATATCGGGCAGCATCGAAGTTTCTATCTACACAAACAATCAATCCATCCATCAATCCATCAATCTATCCATCCATCTACTGTCTATCTTTGTAACTATCTATCTGTTTATCCATCTATCTATCTATCTATCTAGAGAAACACAGATAGATCTCTATCTTTAGAATTTTATGTGTATATTATATATATATATATATCATAACAATAATAATAATATAATGATAGTGATTAAATAAAGGAATAAATGAATAAATAAATATATGTATAGATATAGATATATTTATAGATATGTGTATCTTTCTTTCGTCAGGGCTAGGGACAAGGGGGA